GCGAGCTATCCTCAAGCAAAACCTTTTACCAGTCTGGAAGGGAGCGTAACACTTGACGGAGTTGGACCAGTTTTTTTTCAAGGCGTTGTAAAAGTGGCATTAAAACACAGTCAATATTCTTGCCAAGGCAACTCCACGTGACCCTGCCCAGGATAAGCGGTGTTGAAAATGGATGGAGGGATGTTCTTGCCAAAATGCTGACAAAAATCTTTGAGTGTAATACACGGAGAATGATGTTGACTGACTATAAATGTCCCGCCTACCTCATCTGATGCTAATTATTTTTGTGAATCGGCCCACATTTCATCACTATTGATTCTACCTTCTAAGGGTGACATAATTCTGCCTGAACTTAGACTTATCTCTGCCTCTCCATTGGCCTTCCCCTGGAACATTATGATTGACTGAATCGACAGCTTGATCTCTCCTCATCGAGAGACATTTCTCATTCCAGCCGCACTCTCATCATGATGTTAAGCAATGCCCCCCCCCCCCCCTGCCAGGGACAAGAGGTTTGCTCGCTCTTGTGGTAATCATTCATTGTGGAGAGGCAAAGGATTAGGAATCGATGAGGAAAAAAGTCGGCGAGAGTGTTCTGCATCTTAATGTGGGGGGGCCACCGTGCGGAATAGCCTTGGTGCTGTGGATGAGCCAGCTAATGCGATGCGTGGCTCCGGGGATAGAGAGGGCAAAGCTCCACGTGACCAAAAAAAAAAAAAAAAATCCCCAGTACACACAATCTGCATGAGGACACAAATAGATTGTCAAAAAATAATTGCACCTTCTTCTCCTTTAAGATGAAGATGAACGTTAGAACAACATTCTGTCTGTCCAAATATGATACGGGATATACATCAGATGACAACATTTCACAACATACATGATTTGCAATAAGGAGACAATGTTAAAAATCTGCATGACTGAAACCTGCTTCAGAGAGAAATCAGGAAGCCTAAACAGCCGTCATGACGTCTTACTTGACCAAATCTCCAGTAAATGTATTCGTACTCCGAGTTTGAATGAACGTCTTAAGAGTAACGGGCAGAGATTAAAAAAAAAAAAGTGATCTAAAGAGTTAATGAGAAAGAAAGGTAGCAGCGATAACGTCTTGATCATTTTCAAAAATGACTAAAGGAATTGTGACGTCTCATTTAAAAGTCATTCTTTGCTCCAAAAGTAATCAGTGCCGTGTTACTGAAAATGGACCATTTTATTCTTCGCCGAGCATAATCGAGTCTACTCTACTCTGTCATCCCTACACGCTCATTTGTGACTGCAATGTACTCATTGGTCAACAGAACAAAGCGGTTATTGTCTGATATTTTCTCTGCCCCGAATTGTTCCATTCCGGTGTTGGCTGATTATTACATAGACGGCGCTCTGGAAAGCGAATAAAACGCGTGTGATCAAAATTGCAAACACTCTTAAGCCATAGCCACCTGCACCTGTCATGTGAATACTGAGATGCTGTGATCTGGTTCTATAAAAACTTCTCAAAGAAGAAGAAAAAAAAAAAATCGGAGGAAGCAGAAAGAGGTGGTATGAAAGATTTTATCTCTCAGGAAGAGATGGTGCTCCAACCCAAGGGAGGACAACATCTGTGTGTTTCCAGGAAGGAGGTTTAAATATAGACATCTGATACCTTTTTTTGTCACTTTTGTGGCTAGAAAGTGTTAGTTTTTTGGGGAATTTTCATTCCACGAAAACCTGCCTTAGTGACATAACTCATATTTTTTTTTTAAATCCCATAGAAATTTGAGAAAGAGAGAGAGAGTGTGTGTGATTTAACTGCTATTGTTCACAGAAAAATGTCCACATTATGCTGTCATGTGATGCACTCAAGAGGAATCCGGTCCCCTGGAGACTGAGCAATACACCGCCACCACTTCAGATATTTAATATAGGGCTGACCTATACATTATTAAAATGACCCAGTGGAATATATCTCGCTTCCTTCTTAACTTAGTCGGGCCGCAAATAAAAAGAGAAAATGGAACGCGTCGCCCTTGAATCCCCACTTGCGCGCTGCCGTTTTAACATGAGGCCATTTCTCCTTCCGTCTAACACAAGACGTGAAATGCTGAACTCCAAACCAAGCATAAGTAAGCAGTAAACTGCCTCATGCACCAATTATGATGATGCTGCCTCTTTAAACCGAGGACCTCTGACAGAAGACCTTTTTCTCTGTTTGTTTGTTTGTTTGACTGGACAAGCGCTGGGACAACATAAAACGGCCCAATGGCGTTGAAAAGTCAACAGGACCATAAAATGGCGATACGGTATTTTCATCAGACTGCAGCAACACCGACACAGGACCCAATGATGAGCTTATCATACACCACAGAATGCTCCAGCACTAGCACGCACCATCAGCCAACAATCCAAGAAATCAGACACAAGCAAAACATTCAATGACGCAAGCTATGCATGCATATAGCGTGGATATGCGCGGCGAGACGTGGCCGCGGGCCTTTGCCTTTGTCCGTCTTTGTGTGCGTGCGAGGGAGATGAGCAGTGGAGGGCAGAGTGCTGGTTAGAGTGACGAGATGTGAAGAGACACAGTCTGAGTGAGTGCATAGCGGCAGGACGTAGAGAGAGAGAGAGAGAGAGAGAGAGAGAGAGAGAGAGAGAGAGAGAGAGAGAGAGAGAGAGAAATGTATGAGAGAGTGAGAGCAAGAGAGGCAAGATGGACTTAAATGGCTCTGAGTAAGCATAACCTACAATTTTTTTTGCCTTCCTTTTTGGGAAGGTGGGGGCGGGGGGCACGAGAATTGAGGCCACTAACACAGTCTGCTTTTCAGGTCACTCCAAAAACTGTGCTAATATGTACGCTAGTCCTGAGTCCATTGTTAATTTGATGGCATGGCAGAGAGTGCCGGCTTTGAAAAGATCCAGCTGTTGTGATGCTTATAAGGCTCCGTTCAACACCGCACGCCGTGTTGCCCAATTCCTGTACTTGCTCACGTTACAAAAACAAACCTGAGTGCTAATGTGAGCGGAATGCGTACGTGGTGTGACATGAACTCGTGCAAATCATGATGTGGAGTGACATACAGTACATACAAAAAAAAAAAACCACACACGGTTCCCGCGTGAAGGAGCTCATGTTATCATCTCATATCTACAGAGTAGCGAGGCAGGAGGATGTAGAAATATTTTGGCGATATGAGGCAATACGACTCGATCTCCTCCTTTCATGGAGAGGTCGACTAAAGTCGACCTTGTGCTATTGCTGCATGTAACAAATGAACTTATTGTGTGGGTGAACTATTACGATCAATGTGCACTTTATGCTTCATTTTCCAGGTGAGCTCGATTTTAAAATCAAATATAAAGTCAACACTGTTACTCTAAACAACTTTGCAGAATTACCGAGGTTTGTAAGTCGTCTCTCGGGCATGCACATTCCCCAGCCCGTGCGGAGAGCATATTGGGCTTTTGATGACATACATGTCGGAATGAGCAGATGAGCGTTCATACTGAAGACGCGTCTCATACATATCCGATTTATACCCACATACGAAAGAGACCCAGGTTGGATTTGAAAAAGTTGGAATTGTATTGTTTTCAAATATTGACTGCCCCTTTTAATGGATCATGTGCCCCGTTTCGTATTCCGGTTACCGATAGGTGTTGATAACTACGATCACTGCTGGGCCTATTTGCGCTCTGTTGCAAACCAAAACAGCAGTACCTAAGTACAAATCTCTACAAAAGCAGCGCGGTGACTAACTGCAAGTTGTAAACAAGCTCCTGAGCATGCAGTAAGTGTTGTGGCGCCAGGTCCTGAATGACAATTACCGTTCTAGTAGACTCCGACTATGTCACATTATTTAAGTCAGTCAGTCCTTGTTTTAAACACCATTTCCACTTGACATGTTTCATATTATTTAAATAATATATACAATCACGACCTCTCCGCCATCTACAGTTGAATAAATTCAAGTGAATTTCTCCCAGCCACTATTTGAGGAAATACGGTAATAGATGTCACTTGTTCTTGTCATTATTGTCGTGCCCATCTGGTTGAAGAGAGCCCAGCTGGTCCCGTGGCTATTTAAAGAGGTGACAATCAATACAGCAATTCTTCTTTTTTGGTGGCCAAGAAGCAGACAGCCAATCATCTCTTACACTTCTGTTTCACTTCAGCAGCTTCATAACAGTCGGATATTGGGCGCTCAAGAAGATTTAGCGAGGGATTTAACCTTCTATTAAATATATATGTCTTATACGTAAAATAAAAAAAAATAAAAAATCAGAAAGATCTTCAATGATTAATTATCATGATGTTTCAGGAGTTATAATAGCTAGGATAATAAAATTAGCATAACACATTGAAGGAATATTATTGCTACTTTACTTCCAGTAGACAACAGATATCATTTACTTGTGTGGCAGTTCAACTAATCTGTCATCGTAAAGAAACATTTGACCCGACATCAATATGAGAGAGAGAGAGAGAGAGAGAGAGACCAAATTTTGGTGCACTTGTACATTCGAAAAAACAAAAATGAATTTGAAGAGCTGTACCAAAATGTTGGAAAAGACAATGCTTACCTTTTAAGCTGTCACTCTTTTACTGAAGCCAATGTTTTAATAAGCTGTTGTTGCTCACTGTGGTGCACAACTGCATTGCATCATGCGTGTTGTTTGTAATAATTTGGTGATCATCATTTGGTTATTATTCTCTCTGGCAGTAGTCACTCAAAAACGAGCAGAATCATTTTTGGTACATCTCTTCTATTGGATTTGATTAGTTGTCGGTCATGGTGTGTGTGAATAGGCAAATATTGCGAACATTTTGCAAATGAAACCACTCATACTTTGTGACGGAAATTAATTGCCCGTAATGACTTGAGCGCGGTTAGCATTGAGTCCAGGTTCTACTTCGATGACGAGTCACATCTGCAGGCATCTAAACGCAACATTGCCTCCAGCATTTATGTGCGGATTGGAGTTGAATGGAACAACAGTTTTTTTTTGTTGTTTTTTTTTTTTACCTTGTCTTGAAGCCTATCCCCTGTTTTGCTGAAGCAACGACGACCACTTGAGCAGCTTCTATCCACGCACTGCAAATAACTTCCCAAGACACGGAGACGAACGGCGGCTGCTTTGGGGCGAAAAACAAGCATTTGTCCTCTTCGACTTGCACGGTGAGTTTTTTTGGAGAAAGGGCGACGAGCAACAGAGCCGATCCGCAACCGACCGACTCATCCGTTGGCGACCCGCACAGGGAGGCGGAGAGAGTTGGCGATAAATTCGTGCTTGGATGAAGAAGAGAGTGAGGAGGGGAGATGGAAGAGAAGAGGAGAGGAGAGGAGAGGAGTGCCTCTGTGTGTCACAGAGGATGCTGCTGCAGACGAAGAAGGGAGTCGAAATCGAGTGAAAGAGCTACAGAGACCTTTAACCAACGTGTAGAATCGTATTCGTCCTGATTTTAAGCACTTTTTTTTTTACCGTACTGTAAATAAGCAACCGCTTTCATGTTTTATGTTTATGTTATGTATTATTTTATTATAAAATAGCAGCATGGAAGTAGCCTGGTTCGGGCGTACAGCATTTCAGTCTTAACAGAACCAACACATATTTTACATCAATAAAAAAAATTATATATTTCACAGTCCCCCAAAACAATGTTACAAAAGTGACTGTGCAGCGTGTTCACCCACTCGCGGGGTGTAATTGTACACGGCGTCAAAGTGCAGCTCACGAATGCAGGATTCGAGAGGCCAATATTTGAATAAGCACCGTCTCTATCCAAATCTCTGCTGTGGATTAATTTCACTTTGAGAGCTGAATATATTCATGAGGGAGCGATATCTGTTGACAGATATTTTAGTCTGTGCCAGCGTGCTTGAAACATGTTTTGGACTTGTTCAGGAAACTGAAGCGATACACGTATCACGAGGCGACTCGAAAAGGTAACACAAGTGAAATAATAACGTCAAGTTGATTTCCACTGTTGGTTGAATTGATGTCGAGAGGTGCTGCCGTCTCTCTGTCCCCTCTTCTGCTTCCAAATGTTCCTGACATTCCAACAGCACACACACCAGAGAAAACTGGATCCAGAACCGTGGACAGTTCTCTGTGCGGCCAATCAAGGACAGCCACTACCTCTGTTCTCACTGCCATCATTTTCATTTTATTCTTTTTAATCATCCCAGTCAGTCTAAATCACTTTGGGACAGACTGACAAGAAGTTCTTTACTAGGCTGGTTGATGGCATACAAGATAAAAAGCATCTCTTGATTGGGGGGGGGGGGGCGAATGGTGTGAGAAGTTCACTACGGCACCGGATGAGATTTTGTCAAGTGAATGCAGCCAAATGACAACCGGTCTTCAGTATTCCTCTCTTAGAGGCCTCTTTCCACCTGTCACATTTGAGCCCTGTCATGATTGCTAGCTGAGGCCCAGCGAGAAAATAGGTAAGTGCTTTATTTCTCCAAAGGTCACTTTGATGCCACAGACGACTCAAAGAGTTACTGATATTGTCATGTACAACTCTTCATGGCTTCAGTACTTTTTGCTCAACATGCTGTTCTCTGTGAATCAACAATACGTATCTGGGTTCAATTAGAATTGCTATTTAAACAGGAAGAGATGAATTGTCAGGCAAGTTAAAAAACAATTTCTCAGAATCATATCACTGGTTCTCCAAAAAAATATATGTTTTTTCAAATTGAATACATCTGCCCTCTCTGCAAGCAGCGCGGCTTCAGTTCCCACACACAAATATGTGAGTGGGAATCTTTACATCTGCCCTGTGATTGACTGGCAACCAGTCCACGGTGTCGTTTTTTTTTTTTTTTTTTTTTTTTTTAAAATTAAACAATTTCTCAGAATCATATCACTGGTTCTCAAAAAAATACATGTTTTTCAAATTTAATACATCTGCCCTCTCTGCAAGCAGCGCGGCTTCAGTTCCCACACACAAATATGTGAGTGGGAATCTTTACATCTGCCCTGTGATTGACTGGCAACCAGTCCACGGTGTCGTTTTTTTTTTTTTTTTTTTTGCCCGCAAACAGCTGGGATGGTCTACAGCTCACCGGCGCCTCTGAACTGGATAGGCAGTGTAGAGAATGGAAGGGCAGATGAAATAATTCCATGAACACAAACAACAGGACAACAATCGAGCCTTCCCAAAACTTGAGAGCATCTGTCACTGCAGAGCGGGAAACTTCAAATCACGTCACGGCCTTTGCTTTAATGCTTAAAGAACTCAACAGAAAGAGTTCACTGCCACTTCACAAGCGCAACACACCCGTTGCCCTCTGCTAAATGTTACAACATGAACAGCCTGTCAGCCTGCGCCGGTTGCAAAGTGTTTTCTTCACAGGTAATTGGATTTTAAACGTGGTAATTTCCTGGAAGTGTCCTGGACACACTCACACTGACATACTGGGGAATGAAAACATGTTTGATTTGCTTAAGGGACACCGAGCTGTAGAATCAATATATGCTTCTGAACAAAAACTTGTCAAGCGCACAATACTCTGTTATCTTTCCCTTCTGTGTTTATCCGAATTGAAAAAAAGAAAAACCCAGTTAATTAACAGTTGGCGCACATGATGAACCCCCTGCAGCGTGTGCAAGGTAAAAGTCGCACTATGCAATATGTGTGATTCAAGCTAAGTGTGATTGCTGTGCGATGTGTCGTCTTTTTGAAACCTCTCACATGGTACAAAGGGCCTTTCTACAGTCTATGTTGCTGCTTATTTGATCTATATGTAGACACACATACACACACACAGTGGCGGAATATATACACACACATGTGTATCTATCTATCTATCTATCTATATCTATATATCTATATAGATATAGATATATAGATATATACACACATACACACATACACACACACATTTTTTAACTGAATCAAATCATTCCCTCCAGTTTGAAATATATTGGGGTACATATCGTCGCATCATGAAACGGCATTGCATCATACCCTCTCGAACTGAAGCGTATCATATCAAATCCAATCGTTATCCCAATGACTCAAACTTGATCAAATCATTACAATATTTTTACAAGTGATCTATTGAACACCGTGTCAAATTGTCTTTTGTGGAGAGATGCTCACCGCTGATGTATATATACATATCTATTTGAAGAGAGTCTTTTTTTTTGTCATCTGTAATAAGTTCTGGTAGCTTTCAATAACTGAAAAATTACTAGTGTGGCTACACTGTTCGAAGCTGCCGTATGCCTCTCCGCGCTGCACTGTGCAGATGCGGATTGTGCGAGATTTCTTTGCGTTCCACCGAGACAATGTGAGCAAATGCGACTGGAAGCCGATGATGGGATCACAAAGGAGTTTATGGGCCCTCGAGGAAAACCGTTGGCTGAGAGGGGGTGACTGCCTCACACAAAATTAGGGCAGCAATCAAAATGCATTGTCGCTTGGAGCAGGACCTGGCATCTTTGTTCATTCTAATACAACATTAAATCAGAGATGCACCAAAACTGTATATTCAGATTTGAAATGGATGACACACTATATAATTGTAATGGGTTATGAATTGTCCTCTTTGTCCTTTATGAGAAACCATTTTTAGGTTCTACAGCGCAGACAAAGTAGGCTATTTGTAGTTTCCATCAAACCAAACGGGGAACAAACAGCAGATCATTTGTAAGAATGATTTTATTACAGCGGTCGCTAAACCAATCTTCTTACTGAAGGGCTGTGAACAAAAACTCCAAACCATATTTAAGATAACAGGTTTTATTTGTGCTGAGGTGTCACTCGTATTGCCCAGTTCTATTTTTCACCACATATCGCACAATTCACCAAGCAGCGCCGCATCCACATCCACAATAAGCAACATTTCAATTTCAGTGGAAGTGATGCTACTGCTGTCTTGTTGTTACACCTCCCAACAAGAAATCTTCCATACAAATCTAATTATTAGTTCTGAATACTTTATTCCAACCAACCCGCACTTATTTTGCCTTGCTGACATTTGCATCAGTTGGGCGCTAAGATTGTTTTCACACCAAAACAGATAATTGAGCTACGCTCGGCGCAAGGAGGTCACGCTAATTGTGTGAAAATCTAGCACAGCTACTGACATGCTGCCTTCAACGCTTCGTTACTTTGTTTGGTTTTCTTTCTCTTCTCATTAACATGCTGATCTATGATAAAACACAAGCTCAGAATCCGTGTTCATGTCTCATCAGTAATGTGGCGTAACTTAGCTTCGTTTTCCAAGCTAATAAAACTGATTGTGTGGCTGTGTCGGATATTTTCATTTTAATTTCGAAAGTATTCCTGCATACAAACAATAATCCTTCAAGGTCATTTCAACTCGCACTCTTCTGTATATTTGTGTTTCACACCACACAGCGAACCAGAGCACAGATAGCACGGAGGGATGTCAGCGTGAAAAGGGCACGCCAACAACGCCGCACCTCTCGAGCCTGCGTGGGATTCGTGCCTTGCTCAATGGCACCTTGATCGTTGTCAGGAAGCAGACTAGCATCAAACCAGACCAACAATTAGCTGTTATTGCTGGTGTCTAGCATACCATATTAGTAAACAGAATTAGCATACGCTCACTATTTGTGTGTCGTTAAAATGTGTATGTCATCGATATTGAATTAATTGCACTGCTCTTGTCGTGAGTCGCCAAATGCTTCCCTCGGTCGGGAAATGATGAACTTTTCCTCTTTGCCAACACCCTTTTCCAGCAGCTTCCCAACTGACATACAAAATATAGCAAAGAAAGAACACTGAGCTGAAGTTTAAAAAAAGGACACTAGATACTAAACTTGATCAGTTAAGACCTGCTGTTGAGTGAGTCTATACGACAGAATCAACGTATGGTGGCTTCAGCATTACCGGTAATTCCAGTGAAGGTTTATATTCCTTGTTCCCATAATACACTTAACTATAGTTATACCCTTCCGTTGCTTCTATTTAAGACACAGCCTTGAGCCAGTAGCCAATGTAACACAGCCACAGATGGTTCCTTAATGCTAGCATGGACATTTAGGCATGACGGGGGGCAATAAATGAAATCAGCCAAATGGGAGCAGAAGCAGCTTTGGAGTAGAGGTAGCGATGAAGGATTATCGTTTTTGCTAACTAAACCAGGATGTTGTTTTGATCCCATTCAACATAGTGTGATAAAGTCAAAGGATGTGCACAACAAATTGAATGTGAAAATTGAACCTTGCTCTAGACAGTAGTGAAACGGTTCATAAATGTGCAGAGCATCGCTCTCTCTAATAAGGTGTGATATGGCATGCTGGGCACCATGACATGCATACACAACATGACCTTGTTGG